GCTGAAACAGAAAAATTCTCTTACCACAGTTGTCTTATATGAATTTATGCAAAATGGAATAAGCAGATCCAGAAAAACAAATATATCGAATGATTTTAAAAATATAAATGGAAATAACAAATGAAACTGAAAATTATATAATTATGACTAATTTTGGTTCCATAGAAGAGACAAGAAAATGCACCTCCTTTCACTGAAGAGGTGGAGAACTATAGCATGAAATGTTGCATGCTTATGTTATTACACTGTTGATGTGTGGTTTGGTTTCATTAAACATTATTATTATGATTAAACATAGTAAGGGTTGAACCACAGGGAGCATGCATGATTCTGGGTTCCCCAGGTAACTTTTAGGGACATTTGTGGCTCAGCACTGAAAGACTTGTAAACTGAACAAGTTTACAGGTATTCCTTCAAAAGTTCAGGCTGTAGTGTTGATGGAAAGGAAGGGACATTCTGAAATGGACTACTGACCAGGTGTAGAGATTCAGAGTAAGGGAGGAGTCAGATGCTTTGGAAGAGCCGGGATGACTGAGAGAATGATTAGGTAATTAAGACAGAAATTGTAGTCCTAGCTTCTGGAGCTGGAAGGAAATTTAGGGACTATTAAGTAATCACCTCCTCTGCTTATTTTACATAGAAAGAAGAGTAGCCCCTTGGTGGTAAGTGATTTTTTCAAGGTCACATAGGTAGTAAATAGCCTAGAAGGCTTTGAACTCTGGTCCTAAAGAATCTAAATAAATCCAGTGTTATTGCCACTACTTTCCTCACCGCAACAACTGTTTTGTTTGTTAGTTGTGGTGGTGGATTTGTTTCAGACTTGCTGATTTTGAAATCATATTTGAACCTTTCAGGTTGAAAAATCTACAAGGCAATTGAAATTTGGAACTCAGGGGAGAAATCAAGGTTGGTGACGAAGAAGTCATAAAATACCAGAGTGAATGTAGTCTCTAATGTATAGTATAGAGAGAAGTGACAGGAGTGTGAGAACAGAACCTTAGTGAACAGGAGTAGGAAGGGCCTGCAGAGAGAGGATGCAAAGACTAGTAAGAAATATCAAGGACAAAGGTCAGCTATATACAGTGCTTCAAAAACCTCGTGGAAAATATGGAGAAATGGCTCAATTGGATTTGGCAGTTAGCTACAAAGAGAAAGGATCATCTGTGACCCCTCTAGAGCTGATTATTCAGATTTAATGGTGCTCTAAATAAGAATTGGGAAAGTTGGGGAATAAGGCTATCAAGGAAGACAGAAATTTCTGGAAGGTCACATTAGTAAATAATATATATTTAGCATTATTTTGTTTCAAATCTTTTTTTTCTATTTTTAAACATTTTCCTCCATGGTATCTATCTCAAAGGAGAATCATCCTTTTATTTTATAAGCTGCCCTAAAAGTTTTATTTTTGCTATAACTATTTTAATTTTTCTTCACATTACAAAATCCAGAATATATTTCTTGTGTTTTATCTTTAATTCACATGGAAAAGAGGATCTAAAGCAGATACAGGGTAGAAAAAATACCATGCCTCAGTCTTCCATGTTCTTTCCTTCTCCTTTAAGAAAGCACCATGCTGGATGCTTTTGTCTGAAATTACCCTGCAGGTGATTCAAAAGAAAACTGGGAGAGCCTGCAATCTAAGAACAGCTTTTAAGCTTGTAGGCTCATAATTATCTGAAAGACAAGTATTATCAACAGTCAACCTATGCCTCCAATAATACAAACTTTTCATTTGAAACTTCAAAAGCATAGATAAAATTTCAGTGTATGCACAATGACAAAAGCTCTTCTGAAAAAAAAATCTGTTTTATAGTGGTAATTACATTCAATGGCCTTTGAATAGACTAGCTTAATGATTTCTTACAAAAAACTTTTTGGATTAAATAAAAAAAATCAGATTCCTGCTTATCATAATTCTTACATATAGTAGGCTCAGGAAAAATATTTGTTGCTTTTTTCATAGTCTCTGAGTCTTCTTTTTAAACTTATTTTCTCTAGGATAAAATAGAAACTCCTTTGTTTAGCTTTTCAAGCTTTTCACAACCTGGTCCTAGACTTATCAGGCCACCTTCATTGGACATTAACACCCCCCCCCCCCCATGGCTATCCACCAAATTGGCCTTCTTTCTATTCCTCCCAGCACTTTATCTCTGACTTTGAATTGGAATTTGAGTGGCCTGGAATGCACTCCCTTTTCCCTTTTGTTTCATAAAATCCCTCTCTTCCTTCTAGAAGCCGTCCTTGTCACTCTCTACTTGGAGTCTTTCCTGATCCCCACAACAGCTAATGCCCCTCTCTCCCAAGTTACCTTGTATTTATCTTTATATTGTGTATATTTATACAATAACTGGTGTCTTGCTCTCTCTTTCCCCTCCTCCTCTCACTTAAAACGTAAATTCCTTTAGAACAAAGATGGTTTCATTGTGGTTATCTCCGGAGCCTAGCACAATTCAGGAGACCCATATTCAGACTCCAACTCTTACACTTTCTAGCTCTTTGAACTTTCTGTCTCAGTTTATCTGTAAAGTGGGCACTAATGTGCCTCCTAGGGTTGTTGTGAGGAAATAGTTTGTTAGTCTTCAAACACTACAGACACGGGAGCAGTCACATTCTTTTTTTTATCTTCATCTCCATGAGGCAACACGAAGCTATTTTTTCCCCTAACTGTAATATAGGTGAATGAGATTTCAAAAGTTTTGTTTTGTTTTTGAATTTGATATTGAGAACAAATTATTTAAGATCTTCCAGCTACCAAAATAATGCAGGTTTTGGTCTCTTGGACTTCATCTGCAATTCAATACTTTAAGGACTACTGGCATTCCTCAGGTGGGGAAGTCACCTGAGCTTAGGAGTTCTATTGAATATAATCAACATAATAACAACACTTTGAATTTAACACCTAGGGGGTGGAGATGGTTAAATTGCCCACCAACTTCCTGACTATCACTTATTGTTCCCCCTCCATTACCCCTATCAGCTTTCCCCTACAGAAGAACAAAAGAGGTTTTGAATTTGTTTGGAGACCTGTTGCATATCTTCCTCGTTTTGAAAAATGTTTGTGGAAGGGCAGTTTGTGGGTAATATTTCTATTCCAAGAAGCACCTTTTACTTGGATCACTTACTTCCAATGGTTGTTATTAAAGTTTATAAAGAAAAATAATCCTTCACAGTCTTCTCTTTGCTTGAGGTTGGAAAGCACATAGAAGGCTGGGGAAGGGAAGGCAAGGGAGGGAGAAAGAATAGAAATTTAAGGTAGAGGTTGTGGGGTGAATTAGGAAAGGGAATGGAGGGGAGAGGAATGGAAAGGGCACTTGATCCTTTCATTCAAGATGCATTTTTCATCTCCTGTGCTTATTGCTGTTAGGCACTAAGGGAGACACAAAGTTTAGATGTAAAAACTGCCCTCCATTAGAGAACAGGACACAAAGATTGCTATATTTTGATGCATTAGAAAGGTTCAAAATGAAGTGCAATTTGACTTCCAAGGTGGGGAAGGTGTTACTGACAAGGGGGAGTGGAAGGTCACAGAATCATAAATCGAGGCATGAACGGAACCTTAGTGGCCCTGCGGAGGGGATGGCATTCTAGTTGGCCCTTTACAAAGTGGGTAAGAATTCAACACATTCCCGATGGAAGGAGAGCTTCGGAGGTACTTGGGGAATAAAGGCAGGGAGGCTGGAAGACATAAGTGGGAAGATATCTGTCCTCTGTTTGACATTCGAAGCCCTTTACCACCTGGCCACTTCCTACCTCTGCGGTCTAATTACACCTTAATACTCCACCCCCCATACTGTACCGATCCAGGGGCACTCATCTCCAGACTCCCGGGCGTTTTCAATGGTTGTCCCCTACGCCTGCGATGCTCTCCCTCCTCGCTTCCTTCAAATCCCAGCTAAAATCCCACCTGAAGGGAGAAACCTGACCCCCCCCTTATTGATAATGCCTTCCATTTGTTGTCTCCAATATATCACATATAACTTAGTTGTCTGCACCCCGTCGCTCCGTTAGATTGTAAGCCCCTTTCGAGCAGATTTTTGCCTTTCTTTGTATCCTTATCACTTAGCACAGTGCCAGGTACGTGGGAGACGTTTAATAAATGCTTATTGACTGTTGAAATGGCAAGGAGTACCTGCAAGAGTGGATAAGGGGGCTGCTAGGTGGCAGTAGATAGAGCTCCGGCCTTGGAATCCGGAGGACCTGAGTTCAAATACGCCTTCAGACACTTGAAACTTACTAGCTGCGTGACCCTGGGCAAGTCACTTAACCCCGATTGCCTCAGCAAAAAGAAAAAAAAAATGAGTGGATAAAGTCGGAAAGGCAAGGGAACCCTACATCATTGAGAGATGTGAACTGACTTATGTGTTATCTCAACTAGACTAGACTCAGGGAGCTATTGATATTTGAGCTCATTGATGACCGAACAATAACTAGGGCCGGGGACGGGGTGGCCGGAATGGAACTTAAAGCCTACGGAAAGATCTCTGATCAAGGAGGAAAGTGAGGCGAAGTTTTTCACTCTGTCCACCCACATTCAAACTTTCGGGGCCTGCCCTCTCTTCCCAGTCCGAGCAGGTGCGTGGGAAGGCGGAGGCGCCTCGCGAGCGCGGGGCCGGGGCACCGAGGCCGCTGCGCGCAGGCGCAAGCGCAGCTTCGACAGCTTTCCGCCTTCCTCCCCGGAGGCCGCGCTTCCCTCCCGGTCTCCCGGTCTTCCAATCAGAGCCTCGCATTCCGTGCGCACGTATCCTAGAGATGGGGAGGCTGGGGACGGGGCGCGGGGGGAAGGAGCGGGGAGAGGCGGGGCTGGGGGAGGACAGGGAGGGAGCCCAGCCTCTCTCCACCGACCGGAAGTGGCCGTTGTAAACTTCTCCTCCCTTGGGCCCAGCCCCTTAGCCTGACTCCTTTCTCTTTCTGATCCCGCGGTCCTAGAAGCCGCCGAGTTCCGTCCGCCCCCAGCCCCCAACGCTGCACCCCTCCCCCCCACCCCGCCCTCACCCCAGCAAAGTGTTTCTACTACGCCCTCCACCCATCTCTCTATGCCGGGGGCCAGCTGGGCTAGGTGGTTCGGTTTAGTTTGGAGGTTAGGCCCTTCGGGACTGCAGCCTGAGGACATCTGTGGGGGCGGCTGACACCTGCTGAGGTAACGGGTGGGGAAGGGGAGGGGGCTGCTGGAGTCGGCGAAGAAGCCCGGGGGAGGGAGGGGGCGAGGCTGGGGAGTAGGAGGAGCATCTTCTGGTGCGGGGAGGTGGGGGCGCCTTGGATTTGGTGGAGTTGGGGCGGGTGGGCTCCTCTCCTTTTTCATCTCTCTATTTTCTAAATATTTTAACTTTTTGGAAAATTGGTCCTAGGTTTTCCTTAGAGGAAATAAGAGACAGGGATAAAGAAAGTCTCAGGACAGTTTCCCCAAGATTGTTCAATTTCTGCAGGCAGAAATAGCTTTTCTTTTCTTTTCTTTTCTTTTTTTTCTTTCTTTTCTTTCTTTTCTCTCTTTTCTCTCCTTTTTTGTGCCTACAGTCATCTTTCGGTGACACAATCTATTGGCTGGACGAATGAGACTAGTCTGAGCGAGGTACCTCAGTTACTGTTGCGGTGTTATTGTTCACTTTGTAACTTAGCGTTTAGTCTTAGTAACACTCCGCAACGTTGCCAGAGCTGGGTGAGAATGGCAGACATTCCAGATAAAAGGCAGGAGAAGCAGCTCTCACAGTCTAGGGCTTCCTCACTCGCTGCCTCTGAGGTGGGGAAATTGCTTTGTCAACTTTAAATTGCCGTATAAGGGTCAGTTACTGTTGTTATAGTGTTAAAATGACGATGGACCGGAAATCAGAACTGGGTTCTGGTTTCAATCCTGTGTGATTTGGGGCAAGTATTTTAGCCTCTGTGGGTCTCTCTTTGCAAACAGACCAATTTCCTTAGTCAGAAACTGAGTTTGAGTCAGAAAACCAGTTCCTCAGTCAGAAACTGAGAACCTGAGGTTCCCAAAGTGGGCAATACAGTCCCCCCCCCTTCCCAACGTTGGGGGGGGGCCCCAAGCATCGGTAGTAATTTCCTGTGCATGGGGGTGGGGCAATGGCATTGAATAAAAATAAGGGGGTGGTGGAAGCATAAGGAAAGAAGAGAAAATAAGAAAATTTTGAAAAACCATTCCTATGTGTTTCATTTATTGTCTGACACTTAAATTAGTAGTGATTACATTATTTTCTAAATAAACACATAAAATGCAAGTTATAAGGGATCAGTGGTCAAGTCCAGAGACAGGTCTTAACAAGCAAGTGTTGGCAATCAAGTGTGTCCTGCACTGAGTGGAATCCAGCCAGCATGCATAGGCAGGAATATGTGCATGTAATGAATTGCATGTACTGTATGGTTACATGATGCTTTCGTCATCAAAATTTCAATGCAGGGAAAAACCCACAAATTTACAATAAATTATTAAATTTAAAATGTGTCATTTAAAAAACATTTTATATTTTTTTGAAATGATGCATATTTTTAAAAAGGCCATTAAAAGGTTAAAGAAAGTACATTTCCAGGGGGGTGCTGAGTAATTTTTTTAAGGGAGTGGGGGCAGCCAGGTGACATAATGGGAGACCTGAGTTCAAATCTGGCCTCAGACACTCTGCAATTAGTAGCTGTGTGACCCTGGGCAAGTCACTTAACCCCATTGCCTAGCCCAAGAAAGCGGGGGTGGGGGGGGGTGGTAGGCCAAATAAGTTTGGGAACCTCAGGTTTACAGTGTAGATCTACAGGTCATCTAGTACAACTCTCATCCCCTGCCCCCTATATGATTGAGAAAACCTAGGCTCAGAGAGGTGAATTGATTTGTCCAAGGTCACACAGATAGCAAATAGCTACACCAAGATATTAGGTCTTCTGCTTTCCAAACCAGTCAATCTATAAGTATTTATTAAGTGCCTACTATATGCCATTCACACACTAAGAATTCACATACAAAGAATGAAATATTTCCTACTCCCAAGGACCTGCTTACTCCCTTTTAATTAAGAAGAAAACAAGTATATAAAGAATAAATATAAATAGAATGGCAACAAAGTAGTTGAAAACAAGGTTGTATAGGAAGGAGGACCCCATCAGTTGGGAGGATCGGGAAAGGCTTCGGGTGTTTCAGCAGTGTCTTCAAAGAGAAAAGGAATTCTAAGAGATAAAGATGATGAGGAAGTGCATAGTGTACAAAGCCAGTTTGGGTAGGTGGCGGATTACAGTAGGTACAGTGATGCTGGAAAGATAGGTTGGGACCAGGTTTTGACGAGCCCCTTGGTCCTTAAGTCAATAAGGGTTGACTTGTGGTAGATTTCTCCTTCAGTGACCGTACCCTCTGATGGGGGAGACCGCAAGTAAACAAATAAGTATGAACAAGATCCACACGGGGCAAATAGGAAATAACTAACAGGGAAGGCATTAAAATTAAGAAGAGTTGGGAAATACTTCTAGTAGAAGATCGGATTTTAGTTGGAACTTGAAAGAAGCCTGGAGAGATGAAGAAGGAAACCATTCTAGGCAGAGGGGAACAGTCAGAGAAAATGCCTGGAGTTGAAATTTAGTGTCTTGTTTGTGAAACAGTGAAATAGCAAAGAGGCCAGTGTCACTGAATCAAAAGGTATGTGGCAGATAGTAAGGTTCTAGAAGACTAAGAAGTTGAGGGAAAGGTAGGTTATGAAGGGCTTTGAATGCCAAATATCCTGGAGATAATAGGGAACCACTTGAGTTTAGAGAAGAAGGGTTACATGGTTGGACTTGTGTTTTAGGAAAATCACTTCCATGGCTGAATGGAGGATAGATTGAGTGGGGAGAGACTTGAAGCAAGCAGACCAGCTATTAGGCTATTGCAGTAGTCTAGTCTTGAGGTGATAGAGGGCCTCCGTCAGAGTGGTGGCAGTATCAGGAAAGAAGGGGTTGTATTGGAGAGATGTTGAAAAGGTGAAATTGACAGGCCTTGGGAAGAGATTAAATATGGGGAGGTTAGAGAGAGCGAGGAGTCAAGGATATCTCCTAGGACTGGGAGGATGGTATTGCCCTCTGTTGTAATGGGAATGTTAGGAGGTGGGGGGAGGGTTTGGGGGAAAGATAATGAGTATAGTTTGGACATGTTGATTTTCAGATAGCTACTACACATTCAGTTTGAGATGTCTGAAAGGCAGTTGGGGCTGAGACTGGGGTGGGGGAGTTCAGCAGAGTGGTTAGGTAGATTTGAGAATCATCAGCATTGAGATGATAATTAAATCCATGGGAGCAGATGAGATCACAGAGTGAAGAATAGAGAGGGAGAAGAATGTCCAGTATGGAGCCCTGTTAAACATCTAGGGTTTAGGGCATGACGGAGGAGCCAGCAAAGTAGACTGAGAAGGAGCAGTTTGATAGGTAGGAGTAGTGAATGGTGCCCTGAGAGCCTGGGAAGAAGAAAGTATGAAGGAGAGGAGAAGGTGATCAGTGGTGTCAAAGGCTGCAGAGAGGTCAAGAAGGATCACCTTTGAGAAAAGGCCATTAGATTAGGCAAGTAAGAGATCTTTGGTAAAGAGCAGTTTCAGTTGAATAATGAGGTCTGAAGCTGGATTTTAGATAGCTAAGGAGAAGAGAGAAAGTGGAGGTACCTGTTGTACTGTCTGAAGTTCAGCCACAGAGGGCAGAAGAGATATAGGATGATAATTAGTGGGATGAAATTATCAGATGAGGGTTTTTTGAGGTTGAGGGAGACGTGCGTGTTTGAAGGTAGTAGGGAAGGAACCAGTAGACAGGGAGACATTGAAGATAAGAGGGGATAATAAGAGGAAGCAATGTGTTGGAGATTAGATAAAAACGCTTAATGGAGGTGCTTATATTTGATTCTAAAGGCATTTGGGATCCATTGGAGTTGCTTAAGAAGGGGACTGACATGATCAGATCTTCCTTGGAGAAAAATCTCTATGGCAGAGGTGTGTAAGATGGACTGGAGTGGCAAGGGGGAAGGGAAGGAAATAAACATTTACATACATGTATGTCTGTGTGTTATATATATATGCTTGTGTATACACACGCACACACAAATATAGTGCTTACTATATGTCAGGCACTGTGCTAAGCACTTTTTACAAATTTGATTCTCAAGACAATCCTACAAGGTAGGTGCTATAATTATCCCTATTTTATAGTTGAGGAAACTCAGGGAGACAGAAGAGGTTAAATGACTTTCCCAAGGTCGTATGATTAGCTAGTTAAGTGTCTGAGGCCATGTATCAACTCAGTTCATCTTCATTCCATGCCCAGTGTGGTAGGGAGATCAATTAGGAGGCACAAATATAAGTGAGAAGTGATAAGGGCCTGAACTAAAGGGATAGCTGTGTGAGTAGAAAGAAGGGTTTTTTCTGGAGGTAGAAATGGAAAGATTTGACAACTGATGGGCTAGGTGGGATGAGAGATGAGTGAAGAATCCAGGATAACACCAAGATTATGAACTTGAGAGACTGGAAAAATGGTGGTGCCTTCAATAGGGAAGGGGAGGAAGAAGGGGGGTTTTTGATGAAAAGATGAGTTCTGCTTTGGACTTGTGCAGCTGATAAGTCTCATTTAGTTTAGTTTGAACATTTAGTTTGAAATATCTAATAGATGGGACTGAAGATTGTGGAGAAACTGGCTGGAGATCTATGTCTATATCTATGTCAGTATCTATGTCTATATATCTCTATTTCTGTCTGTATCTGTAAATTTAAGTCTAGATTTAGGTTATATCTATAAATAGGGGCATGCTGGAGCCAGCTGATTACTGATTGTTGAATTTTCATTGTAAGCATTTACAACTTGGGAATCTGCAAATGATATAAATCAAGGCCTGATTTATTGTTTTGTTGATGGTCTAGATATAAGAATGATTGAGAAAATGTTAGTAAAACAGATTAAACTTGAATGTTAGTAATGCAGTATTCCATATATTTTTTTTTCTTCTGGAGAGCTAGTTAAAATATTTACCAGCACATTGCTGTCTATGTATCTGTACATCTGTGAGTCGTATGAATGGAGATAATAAGTCCACGGGATCTGATGAGATGGTACTTAGAGTGTGTAGAAAGAGGAGAGGGCCTAGGACAGAAGCTTGGGTAATATCCTCAAAGTTAAGGGGGTAGGCTATGGATTATGAGCTAGCAAAGA